TGAAGTGCATGTACCCTCTTAATCAGTTAAATAAGGACATATTATAAATATAAAGTGTTTAGCAACATAGCTATTTGATATAGAATTATCAAATCCTTTCAAATAGCAATATAGCTATTTGAAAGTGTTTAGCTACTTTATATTTATATTGCTATTTCCCTAGGAATGCTGATGTTTAGAATGTTTACTCACTACCACAATTTCATGGAGGCACGTATGAATCACAGTAAGAAAGAAGTGAATAAATATTCATGGACGTGATATGTATAAGCAGTACAAAAATGTTTATAGCGGTCATAAGACATAATTCTCCTAATTAACTTTTTAAAGCAAAGTTGCATCATTCTTTCTCCTTTTCTTTATCTTCTTAGAAACATATACAAGGATGTTTTGGTTTGCAGAATCACTTTGCTTCAATCAAGCGTGGCATTTTATTGTAGCTACTTCGGAAACATTTGTGTATAGTCCAATCCTTGATCTGGACAGATACTAAAAATATTACCTTTTTATTCTGAACTTATGTTACTTTTAGGTGTCCTTTGTGAATCTCTATGTTGTTTTGGCTTGCATCATTACTATTAGTAAGTAAAACAGTACAAAAGAGGGTTGCTCTTTTTCCTCTTTTTTTTTTCTTTTGTAATCTGTAGCAGTACAAAATATTTATAGCAGCCATTAGACATACTTCTACTAACTAACTTTTTGAAGCAAAGTTGTTGTCTACCCTTCATTTAAATACCAAGTTTTTGCCTTCGGCAAGTTTCGAACGTAAAAGTCATTTTCTATTTTCCCTCTTTCTACTTTCCCTTCCATTCATCCACAATCAGAGGATAAGTCTCACGGAAAAGATCTTTGATAAACCCACGAAGTCAACTATGTGAATCCTAGGCCACTTGGTATTCTGCTTGCACTTTTTTCTGTAGAATTACCTATAACTAGATTTTTCATATAGTATCTTGATAAAAGAATTGCTAGAGGTTGGACTTGGTGAATCAATTTGCTTGATTTTTCAGAAACTAGAGTACATTTTCTTTAGTAACAACTTCTTCTTTTTCAGGTCAATTTGCTGTAAATCTTGGTTGCAGATATTGCCGTCTACATTCTTTTCCCCTTAAACTTCTATATTTCACTCTGTATTGGACCCTAGCTCAGGGTGGTGTTCTTTATTTTGAACATTAGGTATGCCATAGTAGGATTTCTACTCTTTTACTTTTCAAGTTTAGCCATGATCTCTTTGACTCTTTGTTCAAGTTTATGTTATAACTTTCTTTACCCAGAATTCTCCCTCCAAGTTATCTCACATTTTACATTTTAATAGTCTCTTTTCTTTTACTCAATTATATGAAATATACTCAGAAATAGGACTATGATTATCATGCACAACTTCATCTATGTGTTCTATTATACACGAAGTATTTATAGAAGTGAGCTTTTAATTGTTTTACAAAATATCAAGCAAATGTCATATTGTTAGAAAATGATATTTTCAGTAGTATGTTTTTTCATTGTCCATAATGCTTTCATTCCCACCCTTCCCCCATCGCACCAAGGAAGGAAGGTGGGCTTGATCTTCTAAGAGAGGAAATAAATAACTGGTAGTTGAAACAGAGCATAAGGCTAATAAGATTTAAGAATATAACTTCCTCCTCATAGTTTATGTTTACTTTTTCCTTTTGATTTTCCATTTTCTCCCGCAAGAAGAATTGCTTTATTAAGATATGAATTTGATCATGCAAGCTGTAATTATACATTTCTGATTTAAGATATTGCGGTTGTAGCAGTGAGTGTTGAATTCAATTAAAGCAGTTCATTTGCTTCATGTTTTTAGTATTTCAAATAGACGAAAGTGATGTAAATCTTATGTTCTAGACTGGATTGCAAATTGCAATCTTATATTATTTGTCATTTAATCACGTTTTTTGCTTTTACAAATTACAGAGTATTTCTTGCAAACAAGTACTATTCTTTCGGCGTTAGTTCATATCCTTGACGAAGAAAGGATTGGAAAGAAGTACTATTATTTCTTGCAGAGATTGGATGATTTACTGGAGATTCGTCTTCTCCATTAATTCACATCTATTCTTTAATATCGGATAGGCTCCATATGCCACTAGCAACTTTTGTGGTTACAAGATTATGACCAGACTATTGCCTTCACTAGAGCACACTATAATGAAGTGGTTCTTATCTAATTTAACCCATGATATTTGAGATATTTAAAAACTCTATCGACGGTAATTCAAGTAAGTTGGTCGATTTATTTGATCAACTAATGTAGAACATACTCTAAGTCCTTATGGATTAGTAGGAGTATATATTTGGTCTCTCTTTAATTTTCTCTTTGTTGTCATGTAGCTTATTAAAAGGAAGTAGCAAGGCGTTGGATATATTAGCAAAGCTAAATGAGTTAGCTGATTTTTTACAAAGAAATTAAACTTTTAAATTCTTCTTCGTTTTTAACTCATAATGAGGAACAAATGTTTTACATAAAAAACAAGACCAAATATTTCACGCTTTAGGTCCATTTTTAACAAGTCACTTCGGATTGGTAGTCCTTGCCAATAATAATATAGAGACAATCTGATGAAATTCATCTATTTATTTTTTATTTTAATTGTTTTGATTGCGATCGCTAAATTTAATCTGCAATATACATATATCTCTTTTCGCTCTTTTTTTTTTTGAATCGATCCGCGCATCGCGCGGGTACAGATACTAGTTTAAGCTTAAAGTAAAACTAAAACCTGTCTTAGAAATAATCAAATAAATAAGTAAACACAAAAATGAAAAATAGCCTTTTATATGAAGGTCCGGCCCGACCACCGCCCAAGCCGCAAGCAAGTCCAAGTCATGTACTTAAAAGTATTAAATATATTATTTAGAAGGTTCCTCTTGTTGCCAAGTCATCAATTAACATGGCAAGAAGGGGAATCTTCTATGCTAGAATGCAGTAAAGCGTCAAAATAGAAGATGGAAATGCACTAGGTACAAAAAAGCTCGATAACGGTTGGAAAAATGCTGGTGCAAACACATAAAAGAGGAATGACTTGTGTTTGCGTAAGAGAAGGAAAAGCTAAGTTGCTCCGACACGGCAGTTTAGGTGTCGTACCCGTGTCGACATGACACTAGTATGAGTGTGGGTATGGGATCCGTACCGAATTTGGTCAACCTATTTTGGGATTTTGACCACGACAGACGAAAAATTCGAGACGAGATACAATTTAATTCCCGAAATCATAACCAAAAATAGGGTAAATTTGAAAAAAAATAACATATCTATTACTTATCTACAACTAGAGAATAAAAAAGAAATCCATACTTTACAAGCTATACATAATTATTCCACAAAATTTCTCATAGTTTAGAGATATTTTTATATTTTTATTTTTTAGTAGCCGGATCCCCGCACTCGTATCCGTACTAGAATCCGTATCCCCCAATCTTAGAAGTTACATCTCGAAGGATCCGATCACTAGATCCGCACCCGTGTCCGAGCAACTTAGAGGAAAAGTAGCTTTACGATATAAACTAGGGGTGGCAAAACAGGCCCAAACCCATGTAACTCTCCCAACCCGCCTAAGTATTAATGGGTTTAGGCTAGAGCGATTTTGTTGATAGGCTGATTTGGGCTAGCCCAAAGTAACTCATGAAAAAACACTAGCCCAAACTGACCCATGACAGTGCCCAACTATGACCCATGCGAATGCCCAAAATTCTCTCTTGAAGCTGAACATATCGTGAACCTTCACTGATGCTAAATCAAATAAAAATATGAGTAATTCCTTGTCAAGAAAGGTATATTTCAATTTATAATCTCAAGATGAAATAGAATTATTTTATATGGTCAAAACATTTGATCTTTCTATAAATCACGTTGTGGATCAATCATACTCTTTAGAATATTTAAAAATAAAATAGGAATTAATTTAATCTTAAAAATTTACCTTGCATATTAAATGATTCTATAAAATTTCCATTTATTTTTTTATCAATTACAACATTTAGCAAGGTCAATACTACAATATCTAATAAATCGAATTAGTTGTGATCTTAGTCATAGAAAGAGCTGCTGATGGTGTCTTAGAAAAAGAAAATTCAAAATAAGAGACGACGACAATAACAACAACAACAAAAAACCCAGTTTGATCCCATAAATGGAATCCCATAAATGGAATATGGGGAGGGTAGTATGTACGCAGACCTTACCCCTACCTCATAGAGAATAGATACGAAAAAAGTAAAGATTTCTCATGGCATTGGCTGCCATACAAGAAAAAACATAAGGATATTACATTTCAATCCATTTCAATCCAAGTAGCATTTGTGCAGGGTTGGACAATGACTCATTTATTAGCTCAGCCCATTTTAACCCGCCTAATTATAGTCCAACTCGCCCATTTGCCACCGCTAATATAAACGAAGCCATTCAATTATTCTATTCCTACATTTAATAGGAGAGTTTGCACCATGCCACATATTATTAATAATTCCTTCTTTTTTTACCTCAAGGAGGGTATCCCGGTGCACAAAGCATCCCGCATTGAAGCAGGGTCCGGAAAGGGCCGCACCCCAAGGGGGTGTGATGTAAGCAGTCTACCCTGATGCAAGCATATACTATCTTATTTTTTTTACCTCAAGGATATACCCATAATTATATCTTATTTATTTCTTATATTGTGATATTCCAGTTTCAAATTTATGTCAAGCCTTCAATCAGCGTTATTCTATACTGCTTCTATTCACAAGGCCAAATCAAGGCAAGACAATGCAACAAGAAAATATCAGCATGAATTCATAAACTTCAAATGCACTTTATTACGTTAATGAAGGAGAATTAGATTAACAAAAAATCAAAGCTGACATTCAGAAATTAAATATATGTTACTCCATAAGCCTGAAGAAGAATTCCAGTTTACACTGTCAAAGTAATGTAATAGATAAAATATTGTCTAAAGTTCCCTGGCTAGAGGCGGAGTTAGAATTTTGAGTTTATGGGTTCCAAATTTTAGAAAAGGCACAAGTTTATTGGGTTCTGAATAAATTATTTATACATATTAAATGAATTTTTTAACCAAAAAACAGGGTCTGAGCCAAAACTACTAGGTTATGCCGAACTCATATGCAGCCTTGTAGCTCCGCCCCTGCTGGCTGGGCCGGGCCACTCCCTATCCCCACCATTCTCTTGTATAAGAATAACAGAAGAACACTAAAGATGCTGATGTCAAATTGGAAATATATCAGAAACTTATGGGGTAAATTCTCAGAGTCAGAGCACATTCACATTGAACTCGGAGATGGTAGGAAAATCCTCTTCAAGTAAGACAGATGGATAGGGAACAGACCACTCAAGGAGAAATTTCCCAAGATTTTCAGCTTTGCAACTAATCATCATGCAACAAAAGAAGTGTATTAGTCTCCACAAGGATGGAACATACCTTAGAAAAGAAGGTGTAATGACTGTGAAATGGACGAAATGAGCCAATCTTTGCAAGTGAATGAAGGATGCCACGGGTTGCAACCAGAACCAGACAAGACAGAATAGAAGGAACACAAATGCGGCATTATTCCCGATAAAATCAGGCTCTGAGGTGTTCTCCCAAAGTAGTTGGCAACACCATATCTGGCCTTGGAAATTGATATGGAGAAAACAAAGCCCCTTACAAGGTTGGATGCCTCACACAGCTAGGGTAAGAGAGGTATCTTTGACTCAAATAATCGCAACAGGTGTATCCTCTGTGAAGAAGGCTAGGAAGATGCAAGCACTTATTCACACATTGCAAGTTTACAGCTCAGATTTGGTACATATTTTTGAATTTATTTGATCTAAAACGGTGCATGTCGGAAACTCCGAAAGAACTACTACTGAGATGGATAAGGGTAGTCCGACTTCAAATAGCTGCCAGGACAATTTGGAACACTGTACCAGCAATTGTTTAGTGGATGGTCTGGAAATAAAGGAAACAAAAGATACTTTGAAGGCAAAAAAGAGAATATTTATAATTTAAAATATAGATGTATAACTCTTTTAGTTTTTTTGGTGTAAGAACAAAAAATGTACAGGAAACTGAGAGGATGATAGATTTTCTAAGTTCATTTCACGTGCAACAAAACTGAATTTTATATTTTGTACTGCACATCCTAAGCACCCCTTGGGTGCTACAAATAATAAAATTCTCGTATAAGGACACTTGGTGGACTGCCACATTAAATTATTCTTAACATGTTGTGAAGTATTTAAGCTTACCTTGTTACCAGTTGCATCGCTTTCAGAACTTTAGTTTTTGGTGTGAGTGTGACCGCGATAAGCTTGTTCTGCAAACCCACACATAAACAAAATTTGATATCATGTAATAATATGTCTCGCAATCTAATTTCGGTGCTGCAAATTTCTTTTATGACAAGAAGAGCCTTGAAATTTACCTTTTCTGTCATAATGTCCCCAACTTTCGTTGCATGGATGATCTTCCCTGTGATATGGTTTTCCAGGGATCTTCTGGTTCAAGAGAGTTAATGGGAGAGAGGTAGCAAATTGGCAAAAAGAAGGAGAACAAAGTACAAAGACTAGCTATTTGTGTTGGCATCTAGTAAATCATCTTGCAAATACTAGACAGTAGAAAATGGAGATTCAAAATTTTTAGGCCTGGCAAATTGCTTGTATTATCAGATGAAAATTCATAAGCTTTTAAGTGTACTTTAATTGTTATTATTTCCAACATCAACTACAGAGTCTCCAAAAATGTTTAATGCCGGAACTAGAGGATCTCCATTGGACACAGAAAATACCATAACAAGAACAAGAATACCTAAGAAACATTTCAAGAATTCCATTTTTCTCTATTTTCCCTCACTTTTTTTCTTATCTTTTTGTGGGGTGGGAGAATTTAAGGAGAATTGGAGTGAAGTAAAGGTCAAAGTGAAATAACTGCAGGATAGAAAGTTGCACACTTTAAGGACATGCATGTTTGGCACCACACCTAAAGCTAGTGTTGGAATGTTGACATTATTAGGCGAATTATACAATACAACTGCTAAAAAGCTTGTTTCATTTTTGTCCTTATTACAATTCTGTTTAGGGGTATGACGAATTATTTTATTAAAGGCTAGCTTAAGATACTTTTCAGAAAACTGAAAGCAAAATTCACGTGACACAGAAAATTTTTCCTAACAAAAGAATTTTTCAGAGAAAAAAAAAGGTCTTTGACGGCTAAATTTTGCAAGTTAAAACTTCAATCATATCATTGTTAGCCTACTTGAATTAAGTTTATGTAAAAGAAATTAACTTTGACATATACAATGGTTGCAATAAATGCTAGAGAAGCTCTAGCCTACTTTCAAGTGTTGACGGTTCCCAATATTTGTCAATGGCGTTCATTGTTCTATGAAAATGTCAATCCCAATAAAACATCCTATTCTTGGATCACATATAAACCTCCAAATATATATACCTAAATAATTCGAATACGGTGTTGATTGTTCACCTATAATATACCCTATCGATTTTAAACTTTCTAATTCAATTTCAGGAAAATCACAAATATTCATATTATATGATTCGGGGACAGAAGGATGGGGTTGATCTAGTCAGTTCTTGTGTTCCAATTAAGGATGATGTAACCAAGAATTCAGAAATATTGAAAAGATTGTTCCAACAGCAACTTATAAGTCACAGGCAATTGTGATAGCTTCTCAAAAGATAACTAAATAGCATGGGAAATGTTATCCCTAGACTTATAATGTGTACACATAAGGGAATTCAGATTATTTATGGTATTAAGATGGCAGTAAGATCTGATTTGCAAGATAAAGAAGAGTGGAAAAACAATCAAAATATCAAAAGTGATGTACCTCGTAATAAGCCTGCCTGGAAAGCTCCAGATACTGAATTGGATGCCATTTCTTTCGCAGAGATAAACGGAAATTGTATCATAGTGATAGTGAATAAACCAAGCGAAAGAAATACTCACTTCTTATTTTTCGAGTGAAAATGTGGTATCATGTCAAGGACGGAAGGGTTCTTACTTATAACGTTTATCAGTAACTCACTTGTAGTTGCATCAAATGAGAAGCCCTTTCCGGCCATTTCCTTCATAAAAGTTGCCACGTCACTAATTTTACTATACCTGAGAAATCCTTGCACAATAACGTTGTAAGTGACCTCATTTGGCAAACAACCGTTGTCCCCCATTTTTCTTAGCATACCTTTAGCTTCATCTAACAACTCTTCCAGACAAAATCCAGTTATCATTGTATTGTATGTTCTTGAATTAGGAAGCAATCCCATTATAGAAAGCTTCTCAAAAATAGCATGAGCTTTGTCGAGTTCACCATTTTTGCACAATCCATTAATGACAGCATTGTAAAATCCAATATCTCTACTTACTCTCTTTATTTCCAACTTATTAAAATAAGACATAGCTTCTTCAACAAGTCCATACTTAAAATAACCATCGAGTAAAGTGGTATGAGTGCATAAATCAGGTATGGGCCCCGTAGATAACATCTCCGCGAATACCTGTTTTGCAGAGCCAATTCGTCCAACTTCAAACAGACCTTGCAAGATAGTATTGTAGGTAACCATATTAGGTTTTGGTCTTTTTTGAGAAATTTCACGAAACATTTGCATAGCCTCGGCCAATTTCTTTTTCTTACAATATCCATTTATTAGTACGTTATAGCAAATAATGTCAGGCTCAATGCTCTTATCTATCATGAAATCAAAAATTCTCCTCGCTCTATCCATTTGACCACACAAACAATATCCATCCATTATCACATTGTAAGTGAATATATTAGGCTCTACACCTTTTTCGTTCATATGTCTCATTACTTCCTCGGCATCTTCAACTTTCCCTTCTTTGCATAGTCCATCAATCACCATGGTGAAGGTGCGCACATTTGGATAAATATTAAAATTTACCATCTCAGCAAACAAAGTCCTAACCTTTTCCCACTGACCAAGCTTACACAAACCATCAATTAATGAATTATATGTGACTATGTCTGGAGGAATGACTTTCTGCTTCATCTCGTTCAAAAGGTTGATAGCAGCATCTAAGTTTCTATCTTTGCAAAGCGCATCTATAACAATGTTGTAGTTATGTATGTTTGGCTTTGTTTTCCCTACTTCCATTAACCGGAGCAAAGTTAAAGTTTTTTGAGTATGGCCCCTTTTGCTGAGCCCATTCATGACTGTTCCATACATGACTTCATTAGGCTCACAAATTTTCTCTTTCGCCAACTTTTTGAACAAGTTAACTGCATCTTTGACCTTATTTTCAGCAAAGAATCCCCTTATTAGGGTGTTAAAGGTGACAACATTAAATGGAATGCCATTCTTCAAGTAAATGGGTAACACCGAAAATCCACAATCAACACGATGCATCAGGCAATAACTATTAATCACGATACTCAAGATGAACCCATCAATCTGGATATACGATTTCTGCATCTCTCCAAAAAGAGAAACTACAGCAGAGTAATGCTTCATACTTAGCATAGTCTTATATAATTTAGAGAATTCGACAAGAGACGGAAGAGGCTTCGTTCTGATCATTTGGTGGAATAGAGTCAGAGCATCATCTAAACACTTGACATTCTCAAAGTTGCTACTTACCCCAAACTTACCCTTTACTGAAATGGATGTATTACTATGGCCTCTGATTGTAATTGCCGAACAAGAAGGATAAATATCAAAGAAATATATAAAGGGAATACCACTGCGAGGGCAATGCAGAGAAATTCTCCTCATCTTCAATGGCAGAGAATGAGAAGTTTCGACTATGATATCAAAGTCTTTGTCGAATTGCTGCAAAATCTACCGTGGATGTGAGAGTGATGCTCTTTCTCGGTGTGCCCTAATTTTTTAGCATAAGTTGTTCGTGTGTCTTATTTACAGAAGGGTTTATCCGAAATTGGCGAATTAAACTTGACATATTCAGCAAACAATTTTTTAGCATAACGGCTAGCTTGGTAATGCGTACAAGAATAGTATGCCATATTACTAATGTTGATATTAGTTCTTATCTGTTATTTGGTTGGGCATCAGTGCAAGCATAAGTCAAGTAAAGTAAGGATTTTAGGCCCCAAAATTTTAGTGGTTCCATTTTACACTATGTAGTAGATTTATGAAAATTAAATTTTTAAAAATTTGAAATTTTGAAGTAAAAAGGGTACAATTTTTTAATAAACTAAGAAAATCAAACTTCAAAATTTTGAACAACTAGTAGCGTATGAAAATATTTTTAGATTCCTATTTAGAGGTAAAAGAATTTGATATAACTAGGTGACGAGAATTTGGAAAGACATTGCCTTAATCACGAAAGATATTGATGGTTTAGACTTATTTTTTAAATTAAATGTATTAAAGAAAGATAATACAAGTAAAAGATAATACTTGCTTCTTTTTTAAATACCTACATTGCTTATAGAATAATGTTAACTGTAAAGAGGTAAAATAGATATTTTTTTTAAAAAAAAAAACTTAAGGTCACTCATCAAGGTTTGGCTTTAGGCCACCGACTTTGTTGAGCCGCCTCTGTTGGGTATATTAAAAATAATATGTATTGTATAGGGGTATATACATACTTATCCGTATACTAAAAATCACGCTATTACTAATGTCATGGTTTGCTATGTATTAGTTATACATGCAATTGCATCATGCAGATCTAACAGAGATGGGCATTTGCTGTTAAAATACCTATTATGATACTATACACTGAGGATGTCCGCCGATACAGCAGGGCCGGCTCAACAAGATTGGGGGCCTAAAGTCAAAATTCACAGAGAGGTCCTAATTTTAAAAAAAAAAATATCGTCATATATATTTTAATTTAAAACTACTTTTCTAACTTTTTTAGATGCAAAATCATTAATTATTATCTTATAATCGATTTGTTCTATTAATTCCTTTTCAATTGATAAGATAGCTAATACATTCAATCTCTCTTGAGACATTGTTGATCTTAGATAAGATTTTATTAATTTTAATTTTGAAAAACTTCTTTCGGCTGAGGCAACAGTTATAGGAACTGTTAGCATTATTCTATAAGCAATATAGGTATTTGAAAAAGAATCGAGTCTTTTTATTTGATTGAGTATTTCGATTAGATCATTATCTTCTACTTTTATTATTTCTCTTAATACTTTTAATTCAAAAAATAAATCAAAAACCATCAATATTAGAATAACTATTATGTGTTATAGAAAGCTCAAGGTTAAGACAATGTTTCTTCAAATTCTCATCATCTAGCAATCTTAATTTTTTACCACTAAATAAGAAACCAAAAATATTTTTCATACGCTTTAAATTTTTTAAATTTATTTTGAAGTGACAAAATGGCTTGGTCTACTATGTATAAGAAGTAATCAACTCTAAAAGATTATTTACGAGACTTTGTAATTTTGTTATCAATATTCTCATCAAATTATTTCTTTCTAAATATTATACGTTTCTTTCGAAATTCAGGTTCTATATTTATCTCATATGTAATTTTCTTAGCAGAAGTCATAGCAGTTGCAAATCCTTCTTCTCTATACTTTTGGGGGGGAAAAAGAAATTAAGCCTTTAAGTTGATCTATAGCAACATCAATATGCATATCTATTGTAAGCTTTTACTAATTGAATTAACTGCAAACAATATATCATACCAAATAGTCATGCCCAATAAAAATTCAAAATTTTCAAGATCATATGTTGCTAAACAAGTAGCTTCACTTTTAGTTTTTGGATCCTCGCTAACTTCTATTAGTTTCAATAAAGCATCTCTTATTTGTGGTGCTTGAAATCTTAATGCTTTAATACTTTCAATACGACTTTCCCAACGTGTAACAATGATTTTAGAGTTAAGTTGGGTACAAAGTCTTTTAAAACTTTCCATCACTTAGTAAGAGAAGCAAATAATGTATATATATGGTGTGTCACTCCAAAGAATGATATAGCTTTCGTACAAGAATTAGCCATATCACAAAGTACCAAATTTAAATTATGACAACCACAAGGTGTATAAAATGCTCTATGATTTACATCGAGAAGTCTTTTTTGTACTCCTTGATGTTTTCCCTTCATATTGGACTTGTTATCATATCCTTGTCCTCTTAAATTATCAATATCAAGTTCAATATTTTTTATCCCATCTATAATAACTTAAAAAGACCTTTTCCTCTTGTATCATCCACTTTTAAAAACTCTAAAAAACATGCATTAATTTTTATTGGAGTACCTGAAATATCCATACTTCGCAATATAAAAAATATTTGTTCTTGATGGTTTGCATCTGGAGTGCAATCGAGTATGATTGAGAAGTACTTTATTTCTTTAGTTTTTTCAATAATTTTATTTCGGATTTCACTTGCCAACAAGTCTATCAATTCATTTTGTATATTATGTCCAAGGTAATGATTATGAATTTCATCATGCTTAATTCGCCGAATATGTTCTTGCATAATTGGATCAAATTCTGCAATCATTTCAATAGGGCTTGAAAAAATTTCATTACTTTCTTGATACATTTTTTCATTTTTTTTCTCTAAACGCCAAATTATTTTTTCCAAGAGTTTTCATCTCGACAATAATTCTTGACAATACATTTTTCTAGTACGCTCTATCTCTATTAATTTGATCTTGCACATCTTTATCAATTTTTTTTGTGCAATCTCATTTCTAAATCAATCCACGCACCCATATTGATAATATGCTCGTTTGTTATTTCATGAGCTTTGAGCTTAACACTAATATTTCTTCAATCATTACTACCTTTACTAGCTAGTTTACTATTACGAGTACTAGAAGTTGTACTAAATAATTTACAACAAAAATAAAAACTTTATCCAAATCTTTAGAGTAAATTAACCATTTTCTTTCATGCCTTTCCTCATTTGCCAATTTTTTAATATAATGTGTTGTAGATAAATGTCTTAAGAATTTATCCTTTGAAAAATTTATGCTAGTTATTCTAATTGGCTCATTTTCTACTAATAGATCTCTCAATTTTGTATCAACCATATTCCATTGACTTGGATTGTATATATCTTTAGAGATGTAGTTATTCAAATCATTTAAGAGTTCTTGATTTTCTGGAACTATGTCAGATTTCGTAGTAACTTCTTCTAGATTTTCTTCTTGGATGTTATTATCATATAACTCAACTATATCCGTGACTTGTTCATTTGAAGAACATCCTCCCATATTTTCTGATTCAAGATTTTTATTATTTATTAAAAATCTATCAAGGGCTCCCTTTTGGGATTTAATTAATTTTTCACATTTTTTTTCTCTTTTTGCATAACCGGATTCATATTTTCTAGTTGACATATTTAAATTGAATAAAATCTAATATAACTAAAACAAGAATATATACTTAGGAAGTAAGAATATCAATAATGATAAATTTTTAATGAAAAAATATAATATAAAGTTAGAATAATAAAACCCAGCTCAAGAATTTGATAAAGTTGATATAACGGTATCGAAATAGTATTGCACTACTTCAGAATAACGATTGCTTTTGTCTTGTTGCAATGCTTGAAATTTTGAAGAAGACACTCAAAAGCAAACTTTGATCTTTTGTAAGCGGTAAGTTTTTTGGAATGGAATATAGGGATAGTTAACAAGAAGAGAGTAAGAATAAGTGAAAGAGACAATAAAAAGGATAAAAATATAGGAATAGTCATGTGGGCCCATGTTAGGTGGTAGGATATAATTAGGCAATAAACTAGGCACCAACGTTCCCTACATAAAAGGTAAAAAGTTACTTTATTCCAAAAATTTCGCTTCCAACCGTATATGCACGAATTTTATTTTATTTTATAATATATAACATACAACTTTAGAAAAAAAGTGGCCCCCCAAAAAAGTTGAGGCCCAAGTCATTGCTTTAGTTGCCTTATGGTTCAGCCGCCCCTTCGACACAGTTCGATGGCGGCTTGAATATGTTGTACTTTGCATATGTGTTCAGTATGTTACTTGGTAATATAAAATCCATCAAACTTTCATACTTCAAAGCACATAGCTTTCACTTGCAACTATCATCTACACATACCATCGAAATCAATTTTGTACTACTTTTTTCGAACAAAACATAAAAGGGTTCTTCACAGAAACTAGCTACAATAGTAACATTAGCTTTTTCTGGTCCTTGAAGCATTTCCCTTTAAAAAATTCTGTAACACCGTCATAATAATAGTTGTGTTGTGTAAACGACTATGGTCAACATTTTAAAAATGTTACAGAATTTTTTAACATTTAAGTTAACTATGGTCAATTTTTTTATGTAAACGACTCCGAATCGGTATTTTGACGATCCTGGTGGGTCCGTATCATGATTTTGGACTTGGGCGTATGCCCAGAATTGAATCCTAAAGTCCCTAACTTGATTTGACATAATTTGTTGAAAACTAGTAATTTAAAGGTTTAAAGAATTCCTAAATTTGACCGTATGTTGACTTTATGGCTACCAGGTTCAGATTTCAGGTCTAGAACTTGGTATAGGTTCATTTTACTATTTAAATTTTGTCTGCAAAATTTGGTGCAAAACAGAGTTGATTTGATAGGATTCAGATACTCAATTGTGAATTTGAAAGTTCTTGAGTTTCTTTGAAAATCTCATGCATTTTGATGTCCAATTCATAGTTCTAGGTGTTATTTTGGTATTATCGCTCGAGCAAATTCGTCTGATGTTATTACACTTGTGTACATGTTTAGTTTGGAGCCCGAGGGGCTCAGATGAGTTTCAGTCGTGTTTCAGACAAGTTTGAATAGTGTGAAGATTGCTGGTGCAATACCAAATCTAGTGTGTGCAGTAGATCTCGAATTTACGAGGTCTGGCTCGCATTTGTGAGCCTCACTTTTGCAAATAATAGTTCGCATTTATGAGCATGGGCTGGACTAGGTGAACCTCGCATTTGCGAGGAAAATGTTCGCATTTGTGAAAAGTCAGTGGTC